AAGTGTTGGAGTGTTAGAGGGATGCGTGTGGGATATCCAGGGTGATCCAGTGTATGTGAACAGTGAGTTGTTTGGGCGCTGAAGTCGCCATAACTGATTGAGAGTGAACTCATATCTGAAGCCATATCTCTGAGTCTTGTGTGGGCGCATGTCGCCAGTATGCTGCGTTGCTGTTTACATGCATGAAAAGTGTGTTTGAAAACGAGTATGATTGCACCAGTGGTAGAATGTTTGATGAAACGGTGAAATGGACTGATGGGAGTCCGTACTGCCCGGAGTTCGGCCCACTGGTGACTCATGAATGACCGACCTTCGGAAATGGAAAGGAGACAATCGGCCCGATGTCGTTCTTAGCGAGCCACCAAAAATTCTCCAGCTGCTTTCTTTCTTTACCCTTTGCTGCCCTGTGCACGGTCATGATGGTGTTGTTCGGGTGTCCGGAATTCGATACTCTAGGCAGATTGTCATTCTAACATTGCGTTGTCGTCGAGGTTGTCAGTGGGTATGGCATTCATCAAAGCCGGAGAACACGAAGTTGAGTAGCCGAGTGACGGGCCAGATGTATCATGCGGCCCTCAGCTGCGGAATGGGATACACCACGTTGACCGACTTTTGCCTTGCGCTGGGCATGCGCGGCGTCCACAAGACGTCGTTTTACATGTTCAGTCGTGGCATGTATGGCTTCAACGGTGGGTGGTGTGACGTCGCCCAGCGGACAGCTGAGAAAGATATGACGGAGGCCATTGAGCGCGTGCGGAAAGAATACTCCAACATAACCGTTCTTCTTGACGGCCGGTATGACTCGTCTCGTGATGCAACGCACTGTACAGTGACAGTTATGCATTACGAAACCAGACTAATACTCGGTGTCGAGACGATCCGAAAACGCCCAGGGGAGTCATCATGGACATTGGAAACCACTGCAACCCGGAATGTCTTGATACGTTTGCTTCGAGTGCACAACTTGCCGATACAGGAAGTGGTCCATGACGACAAGGCTTCAGTTTCTGCCGTTTTGCTGCGGGACCAAAAGGATATGTGGCACAAAGCGAAAAACTTGGCGGCTCGATTCGAGGAACAGTTGTGTATGGGGAGGAGGGAGCTTCCCAAAGAGGTCGATGATTGTGACACGTACGAAGAGCTGAAGAAAAACTTCGCACGTGGTTGAGGGAACGAGGTGAGGCTGTGCCGTCCACAGCCAAGGTGGCGGATTTGGCACGGAAAATATGGTTTGCTCGGCATGAGAGCGAAGCCGAGGAGGATGTTGATGCAGAGGCAGGGTTGAGGAAGGCACACCCTGGGCTCGCTGGGTCGGGATGTGGGCAGGACCTCGGAGAGTGGTTTTATGCCGTGTGCAAGCTCCGTAGCACGAGCGAGTGCGTAGACGATGCAGTTNCCAAACCTCCAGTTCTGTTCTTCACTTTTCTGTCTGTCGTCGCTGTGTACCCGTTCTCTCCACGATTCTTTGTCAGAAGTCCGATCCCTAAAATTTTCTCTCCGCTTCCCTCTCTCTCTCTCTCTCTCTTTTGCATGGCAGGAGTGTCTCGTCCTTGTTTCGCCCAGAGTTCTGCCAACCTGTGGTCTTCAAGTTCAGTTGCCGTTTTTTTTCTTTTTCTTTTTTTCCCTATCGCTGTCATCTGGTGATTCTCTCCAGACATTCTTTGTCATGACTGCATCTTCCTTGGCTTGCTCACCCCAACTTTTCTCCCGCTAGCTGTCTCTCCTGCTTCTCCCAACTGTTTTTCCCTAACTCTCTTTCCACTTAACTCTGTCTCTCTCTCTTTTCATCTCCCTTCCGCATTCTCTCTCCCCCACTCAATCTCTTCTCTTCTCTTCGCTCTCTCCTAAGTCTCTTCTTCCCCTAACACTCTCTCCCTTACCTCTGTGCTCGAACATCTTTTGCGCCTACTCTCTTCTCACACTATTCCCCTCCTAACTGGCTACCTTACTCTCTTCTGATCACTCCCTCCCTCCCTCCCTCCCCCCTCCCTCCCCTCCCCCCCCTCCCCCACACACACACAAATCTCTTCCTCTTTCCTATATGTCTCCTTAACTTTCCCCCCAACTCTCCATCTCTCTTCGCCACCTCTTCGACCCATAGCCTCTCACCTCTCTTCCATGAATTCTGTTTGCTAACTTCGTCATACTTGTGCTGTTTACCCCAACTCTTAGCGCCGTTCCTCGCTCTCCCCGCAGCTCTACGTCTCGCTAGCTCTCTCCTATATCTCTTCCCTATTTCCATTCTAATCTGGTGGTACTTAACTCTTTCCTAATTATCTCTGCCAACTCTCTCCTCATTCTCCCCTCATTCTGTCTCCATTTATTCTCCCTTTGTCCTGTCATCATTCTCTCCCTCCCTCCCTCCTTCCCTCCCTTACTCGTCTCCGCCTACTGCTTTTCCCGACTCTCTCCCCCGCCAGCTCTCTCCTTAAATTCCCCTTTCCCAGAATTCTATTCCTTAATTCTGTCCCTTAATTTTCTCCCTCAACTCTCTCCCTTAAGTCTCTCCTATTACTTTCTCCCATAACTGTCTGCCATAGCTCTGTCTCACATGCGCTTTCTCACATAACTCTCTCCTATAGCAGTATCTCCTGTAACTCTCCCATAACTCTCCCATAACCCTCCCATAACCCTCCCCTAACTCTCCCCTAACTCTCCAGAACTCTTTTTCTCTTCGATACCTCTCTCTTTGCAACCTCCTCTCCAATGACTCTGTTCCATAACTCTGCGTTCCAGAACGTTCTACCATAACTCTTTCTCCGATAAATCAATCCCTTAACTCTCTCTCCCTCAACTGAGCGAATCCTCGCTTTTCTCGTCTTCCTTTCTCTACCCTGTCTGTTGACGTCTTCCGCGCGCATTTTGCATCTTGGCTTTTTCTCCTTCTACTCGCCTTTCGTCTCATTGATCACCCTGCCTCGTCCTTCTCTCTGTCTTTCACTCCTTAACTATTCCTCTGCCACCTATCACTCTCTCTATGTAGGGGGAGAGAGAGAGAGAGAGAGAGAGAGAGAGAGAGAGAGAGAGAGAGAGAGAGAGAGAGAGAGAGAGAGAGAGAGAGATCGCTGCACTCGTATTCGTCCGTTCTTTGGTGCTCTTGCATCCTCATGGAGAGCAACGTTTTTATATTGGGGTCGTCTCTTTCCATGCCTATTCTTTTCCACATTTTTATCTTTTGTTCTTACACCCCCCCCGGCCCCCTGTCTGCAGCTTACAGCCTGTGGGGTGTCATTTAACTTGCAAAACCCACCGTGCCTGCAACAGGCTCTTTCCCGGGTACGTCGTTCAGCCTACAAAACCGACCCTGCAGCGCGCGAGCTGCAGCCTGGGCCGTTCCATTCCCAAAACCCACCGTGCCTGCAGGACACACCCCTCGGAAGGCATATGTGCCATTTAGCCCACACAACCCCCTCATGCGGCAGACAGCTGGCAGGAAGCCTGCAGTGTGCATCATCTGGCCCGCAAGGGGCATCCTCCAGCCTGCAAAATCACTCTGGGCGATGTAGCTTGAAGGGCCCGCAAACCCCTCCCTGCAGCAGAAAGCCTGCAGGAAGCCTGCAGGGTGCATCATCCAGCCTGGAAAACCCACCCCCTGCCCGATGCAGCTTGAAGCGTTGGTCAATCAGCCTGCAAAACCAGGCTGCACGGTTGGGGTCATGAATACTGCAGAACGGACTTGCAGACGGCAGGAGCCCTCCCTACGGCTTAGGTTAGTCTCTGGGGATCTCTCCTTAGTCTTTTCTGTCATCCTACCCTCGTCTCCTGCTCTGCCGTTTGCCTCCCTCCTCTCTCGTTTTTTTTCCCCATTTCTTTCTCCCCTTGGTCTCTCTCCTTCTCTCTCTCCGCTCTCTCTCCTTCTCTCTCTCTCCTTCTCTCTTTCTGTGTCTTTCTCTTGGTTGTCAGGTGTCCGATCCACTTTGCCTGGCAGTATATGATCTCGACCTTCATATCTTTGTCTTCCCGCGAAAAGAACGTTGTGGGGGCGATGTCATCATTGAAGGCAATTTTCGAGTCGGGTTCGTGAGTTATGCCTAGGTGATCTATTTGAGGGAAGGCGAAGAAGGCAAAGTCCAATGGGGATTTGTGGTAGTCTTTGGCGGCTGCCTTACTGAGTTGGGATGAGCCGAAGAAGGGATGTTGAGATCGACAGTGTTCACCCACTCTCCTCCCCTTCCCCCTTCCCCC